TTTTTTTAAGTCTCCAAAGTACTGAGGAGCGGTGATACCAATCTGAAGACTAGGGTGCACCTCAGGCCATGGTCTTTTCAATCACTTGTTAAATATATAAGAGCTGGACAATGAATAAGGATGAGAGAAGATGCATTGATTTAAAAAAAAAAAGAAGTGACATCCTTGTTATTCAGCAATTTAAAGAGGTCCTTAGCAGCAGATTCGTGTGTTGCAATGTGTCATTTCATGAGAGCTCATTGTGGATCGGAGTAAAACAGCATCATGGGCAACTTCCATCTTTTTTCCATTTCTCATGATGCTGCCTATTGGTTCGATTTTGAATCGTCGTATGGGAGATGAAGCTTTGTTTTTCTTTCCTTCAAGGAGCGAATTCTGGCTGTATTTTCTCCAAACATGTGTTTGCTTTTTTGGCAGTCCATGGAATATTCCACAGTCTGCTCCAACACTGATCCTCCAAGACGTCAATCTTATGAGGCCGTCCTTACACGTTTTCCAGCTTTCAGATGCACAGCAAATGATTGGAAGGACCATGCCTGAGTCAGGTGCACCTTAGTCTTTAAATGGACATCATTCTTCGTAACCAAACTCTAAAGCCGCCGCTTCTTGTAGCAGTGGTTTAAACAGTGGCACACACAGAAAGTGGACTTTGTTGCCTTGTAGGGTCTGTGTCGTGTCCTCAGTTAATATGGAAGTTCTACACTCCTAGTGGCCAGTTCTCAGGCCCTGTGGGGTCCCTTGGGACTGCATGGTACACGGTGGGAGGATTGTGCCTGCCTTCCCTGCAGACTGTGGTATGGGAGCTCAGCATCGTGCCCGGGCCCACTCCATCCAGATCATGAAGGGGAAGATCGCAGCCAACAAGTGTCATCTGCCCGCAGTCAAGCAGTTCCATGACTCCAAGATCAAGTTCCCACTGCCCTGTTGGGTCCTGCCTCGCCAGCATAAGCCAGGGTTCACCACCAAGTGGCCCAACACCTTCTTCTCGGCACAGCTCTCTGTCCCATCCCAGTCTGCCCAATAAAACACCTTGGGGATTGAAACAAACACACAAAAAGGGGACATCATTGCCCTTTAGTATTTGGAAATGTCCCAGATTACAGACGTTGCCAATCTAGTATGTTTCCTGATCTATTAATTGCTGGTACCGAGGATGATTGTGGATCCAAGTAAGATGAAATCATTGACAACTTCAATCTTTCCTCCTTCTATCATGATGCTGCTTATCAGTCTAATGGAGAGGATTTTTGTCTCCTTGATGTTGAGATACAATTCATATTAAAGGATGTAGTCATTGATCTTTCATAGTATTTCAAGTTCTCCGCACTTTCAGCAAGCAAGGTTGTACCATCTGCAAAGTGTATGTTGATGATGAGTCCTCCTCCAATCCTGATGTCACATTCCTCTTCATAGAGTCCAACTTCTTGAATGATTTGTTCAGTGTACAGATTGAATAGGTATGGAGAATGGATACACCCTGGTGCATACTTTTCCTTATTTTAAACCGTATAGTGTCCCCTTGCTCTGTTTGCACAACAGTCTCTTGGTCTATGTATGGGTTTCATATGAGCATAATTAAGTGTTCTTGGATTCTCATTCTTCTTAATGTTAGCCATAGTTTATTATGATCCACACAGTAAAATGCTTTTACATAGTCAATAAAGCACAAATAGATATTCTTCTAGATTTTTTGCTTTTAGCTAGGATCCATCTGACATCAGTAGTGATATCCATGATATCATGGCCTCTTCTAAATAACAGCTTGAACTTAAACAGGTTTGTTGTTGTTGTTATGTGCCATTGAGTCAAGTGTGACTCATAGCCACTCTATGCACAATAGCTCTGAAACCTCTCCTATGCTGAACCAATGTAACTGTCTCCTCCACTAGTAACCCCGTTATCCCAGGCATTATGTCAATCCATATAATCTTGGGTCTTCCTCTCCTGTGCTATCCCTCCACCCTTACAGGCATGACATCACTCTTAAAGGACTGATCCTTCTTGGGAAAATGCCCAAAGTAAGTGCGGTAGAGCTTCAGAGTCCTTGCCTCCAAGGAGAAACTTGGTTTCTCCCTCTCCTGGACAACAAGCCTGTTTGTTCTCTTGACACTCTTGACAGTATGTTAAATACTCTTCTCCAGCAAAAAAACTTAAGGCATCAATTCTTCTGTCATCCTTATTCATTGTACAGCTCTCTCATGCATAGCAAGTAATTGCAAAGACCATGGCCTGGATCAGGTGCACTATAGTCTCTAGACTGACATCCTTGCTCTTCACCACTCTGGAGAGGTTCCTGACAGCATATATTCTCAATATAGTTCATCTTTTGATATTCTGACTGCTGGTGCCAAAAGTGTTGATTGTGGAACTGAAGAAGCAGAAATTGTTAACAATCTCAATCTCTTCTCCATCCATGGTGATGCCAATAGACCCAGTGGTAGAGAATCTTTGTTTTCTTGATGTTGAATTTCCATCTATACTGAAGACTGCATTCTTTGCCCTTCTACAGCAAATGCTTCTTCTCAGTTTCAGCAAGCAAGGTTGTGCTATCTGCATAACACCGGTTTGTTCATGAGTCTTCCTCCAATCCTGACTTCACATTCATCCTCATAAAGTCCAGCCTCCCAAATGATCTGTTCAAAATGGATTGAAAAGGTGTGCACACAAGACACATCCCTGATGCACTCTTTTCCTGATTTTGAATCATGCAGTGTTTCCTTGCTCTGTTCTTACAGCTTCTTCCTGGTCTAAGGTTCCCAAGAACAGTCAGGTATTCTGGGATTCCCACTCTTCTCAGTGTTAGCCACAATGTGTTGTGATCCACACAGTCAAAGCCTTTGAATAGTCAATTAAACACAGATAAACACTCCACTGATAAACTCTTTCAGCCAAGATCCATCTTCCATTGGCTATGAGGTCCCCAGTACCATGGCCTCTTTTAAACCCAGCTTGTATTTTCTGGAAATTCTCTGTCATCATTTTTGGATAATCTTCAGCAGGATTTTGCTTCTGTGTGATACTACTGATATTGTTAGATAATTTCCACAGTGTTGGAATGGGAATAAATAGGAAACTCTTCCAGTCAGTTGGCTAGTTAGTTGTTAGGTAATGTAACTGTCATTTTATTATGTATGTGGCATAGTTACAGAGATTGTAACTAGAGAAGTATTTTAAGTTGGAAGCACTGCTTTGACAGCTTTGCATCGCCACGCCAAACGTCTCTTCATTCTAGAAGACCTTTGACCTCTGAGGTCAAAGGACAAGTCTGTTGTGTCCCTGCGTCCCGAGATCCACCAAGTCCGGCTTCAGCCAGAGAGGAAACTAAGAATAAGGAATGAGACTTTTGGCTTCTCGAGCCTCTGGCCCAGGACCCACACTCCTGAGCCCAGCGCATGGGCGCTCCGGGACGCGGGGCCCCTCGGTACAGTGACGCCCGGTGGCGTTTGCCGGGAGAAGGACGGGGAGTGGACACTGTCCACCCGCTGGCTCCAGGCTCGAACCGTCCTTCTCGCTTAACAGCTTAGTGGGCGCCGGAACCAAAGTCCACGGTTCTCGAGCTTAGCGGGCGCCGGAACCAAGCTGCACGGTTCTCGGTAGTTGACCGGACGCCGGAACCAAGCTGCACGGTTCGCCGCAGTTGAGCGGACCCCGGAACCTTTCTTCTCGCTTCGCCGCAGTTCAGCCGAGGCCGGAACCTTTCTTTCGCCGGTCAGGTTTCTGAACGGAGAGGTTCGCCGCTCGGAACAGTCCTCCGGGTCCCCGTTGGCGCCGCCGGCGCCGGCTGCTGACGTGGGCGCACGGGGTCCCCGGCAGTTGGATACGGGTCACCATGGCGGTGGACATCACGCTGCTATTCCGGGCCAGCGTCAAGACTGTGAAGACGCGGAACAAGGCGCTCGGGGTGGCGGTGGGCGGCGGGGCGGCCGATGGCAGCCGCGACGAGCTCTTCCGCCGGAGCGCTCGGCCCAAGGGCGACTTCTCCAGCCGGGCCCGCGAAGTGGTGAGCTGGTTACTATGGAAACTGCGGGCGGGAGGGGCGACCTGAACCCGGTACCGAAGGGGACACCTGCGGACTGTGAGCACCCGTGTTTTGGAGAATGGAGATGAATATTGGGGAAATCAAGAAAGCTGCTTTCACTTGGGCAGAAATAAAACAGAGACTTCCATCAGCAAAAGTTGTTGAGCTGATTTGCATGGTAATGAGTTCGCCGTCACTGCAGATTGACAAGCAGCCCCCCCCCCCACGGTCCTTTCTAATACGACGCAGTGACCCCTTTTTGTTAAAATAAGATCAAAGACCAGGTCTGATTGGGCTGTCTTCTCTCTTCTCCCATAGTAGGTAGAATCCGGTAGTTTTTGAGGCCGATTTGATAGGTTGTTGTTGTGTTGTGTGCCCGACTCCTGCTCTATCCTGAGCCGATCTCACAGCCTCCGACTCGCGTACCCTTATCTTTCACACCCTGCCAAGCCCAGTCTCTCCGGGGCCCTTTCTTCCCCAAACACAGTGGGCTTTCCTTCTCTGAGAGCGAGGACTTTTCTCTTTCACGGCACAAAGAGTTGACTTCATCTCAGAACCCCCGCGTCTGATAGAGATTTAGTAAATGCTTGCTGGGTGAATGAATGGACAGATGGTTGTCAGTCGTCCCCGCTAACGGGGGAACTTGGCAAGAGGCCTTGTTCACGTTAGTGTTCTTGGCACCCAAAGCAGATCTCGTGTTTGTGGGGTCCAAAGCCTGTACGGTTTTGTCTGGGCTCTTTAAGAAATAAAAATACAAAATTATAGAAAATGTCAAGCTTAGTGTTTTGGTGAGTTTAAGGGAGGAGCCACTGAAGTTGAGGGTTCGTTAGCGTCATCGTAAATCCACTTTTGGTTGGCACACAGTCCAGTCCCTAGCATCTTTAGATACTCAGGTATGTTTGAATATGTTATCCACATGCATCAGTAAATGGTAGCTTGCTGTGGGTGTTAAGGCTTTAAAGGGGGACTGTTGTTGTGTATTGTCCAGTCAGAACTGACTCGTGTCTGACCCTCGTGTCTGCAGGTTTTCAGAGCCTTTAAATCACATGGGAAGAGATTGCCATCTTTCTCCTGTGGATCTGAACTATGTGCCTTAGGTTTGACGGCACAGCTTCTTACCACTAGGCCACCAGTGCTCCCTGAGGGGAGCGTGCTACTTCTGTGTGTTGAGTCAGAACTGGCTCATAGCTGACCCTCCAGTGGGTTTTTCAGAGGCTGTAAATTGCACAGGAGGAGATTGCCCATCTTTCCCTCGCAGAGCGTCCGGTGGATTTGAACTGTGTTCCTATGAGTTGGCAGTGTCACTCTTTACCACGAGACCACTTGTTATTGTGTACCGTCGAGTTGGATCCTACACATACCTGACCCTTCAGTGGGTTTTCAGAGGCAGGTGCTTGCATGGGAGGAGATTGCCCATCCTTCTCCCGTGGAGCACCTGGTGACCTAGAACCACGTGCCTTCAGGATTGCAGTGAAGCTTCTTACCACTTGCCCACAGAGCTCCCTAAAGGGAGATTAGACTAGATGAACTGCTTCCATCAACAATCTGTCAAGCACCTACTTTTCTAAAAGCAGTCTGTGCTGAATTTCCTGTTAGGGCCATTGAATCAGTTCTGACTCTGAGTGACCCCGTGTACACCAGCAGGAATCACTGCCCGGTCCTGCGCCGTCCCCACAGTCATTGCTGTGTTTGAAACCATTTCTGCAGCTACTGTGTCAGTCCATCCTATAGAAGCCGTTACCACTGACCCTCTGCTTTACGGAGTACACTGTCCTTCTCCAGGACCTGTTCCTCCTGATAAGGTGTCCAGAGTCTTGCCATTTCATTCAGAAAGGGACATTTTGGCTGTGCTGCTTCTAAGACTGATTGCTCCATGCTTCTGGCAACTCATGAAACGTTCGCCTTTGTTTGCCAGCACTGTAATTCGGAGGTGTGAGTTCTTTGTGGTGAGATGAAATGATATAGAAGGAGTAGCAGAGAATACAGACATCGAGCACAATAAGCAGAGGTACTGATAGAACTCTGGGTGGGTTTACGGCCTCAGGGTCAGGAAAGGCTTTCCAGAGGCAGTGATGCCAGAAACAGGCCTTGATAGTCAGGGGGGGGAGAACACCCCAGGCTAAGAGAACAGTTTGTGTCAAAACACAGCAATGAGAGTGTGTCTGGTTAGTGTTTGAATGTGGCTGAGTTCCAGGGCATCTGTAACACGAGCCTGGAGGGTAGGCTGTGCAGATCTCACAGGCTTATCCATTACTCCCTTGGGCTTCATCTGTGTCCTGCAGGACGGCAAGTGTTCTCTGGTCAATGGACTTTGCAGAATGAACTGTGAGACCAGGAGGTTTTCTCAGCCAAGTGATGCTGTTAAACGGGTGCCTACAAATGGTCCCCTCCTTTTTTGCTTAATCAGAGAGAACTCGACATTGACCGTCTATAGGTAAAGCATCAGAGCAGGCCCTTTCAGGAAGTCAGAGGGAACTCGACATTGACTGTAGGTAAAGCATCAGAGCAGGCCCTTTCAGGAAGAAGTCCGAGAGAACTTGACATTGACCGTCTGTAGATAGAGCAGCGGAGTAGTCCCTTTGAGGCACAAGACTTCCTCCCCGCACCTCCTGGTCTGGCTGAGGCTGTTCCCAAGGTCCCTCCTGTGGAACTGTGCTTCGAAGGTCACAGTGTGGCTTTTGGGTTTCAGTTTCCTGACTCTGAATGAGACACTGATGGTGGTGTGGCAGCATTCTCACCTTCCACGTGGGAGACCTTGGTTCGGTTCCTGACAGTGCACCTCCTGTGCAGCCAGCAGCCATCTGTCAGTGAAGGGGGTGTGGGCCTGCATTGTAGCATCACAGTGCAGATGAAGGAGGACTGGGAAGAAGGCCTGATGATGTGCTTGGGAACCTCAGCCAATGAAAACTCTGTGCATCACAGTGGAGCATTGTCCAGTCTGCAGCCAATCATGGAGCGGCCCAGGGCTGCAGAGTGTTTCATTTCCTCACGCCTGAAGTGGTCCTGAGTGGGCGCTCTCTCTTCAGCAGCTGACAATGACAGTCTGACTCTCAGATGACTGATTTTTAATATTAAGTTTGAGTCCTTACCAGAAACAGGGGACTTGGGAGTGGTCAGGGTGAGATTTACGGCCTCAGATACCACACGGGCAGATCTCCCCTGTGCTGTAGGATCACCGTGAGTCAGAATCAGCTCACTGATAGTGAGATTTTTAGGAGGGGCAAGAAGCATGATTGTTTCATTAAAAAAAGGCCGGGTGGGGGAGGAAGAAGAGACCCCAAAAAGTGTCAGCGGAGACTTTGAAACTTGTAGCAGCCACTTCTAAACAGCATGCCTCTGAAAAATCTAGGAACTTTGATAAATGATGATGGTTGTGGAAGGGCTCAGGCCTTTTGTTCATGGGGTCGCTATGAGTCGTGCTCGACTTGACGGCAGTCAACAGCAACAAAGTGAAAGGAAGAAATGATGACATAAGAGAGCTGAACAGAAGATGTCAAAGGGCGGCAAAGATCACAAAATAAGGTATCACAAGAGATGGACAAGAGAATTGTAGTTAGACGGTCAGAGAGAACACACTCAGCATCTCTGAAGCTGAAGGAACTGAAGAGCAAACTCAAGCCTCAATTTGCCCTATTGAAAGATTGTATGGGCAGAATAGTGAAAGGAACAAGAAGCATCGGAAGAAGTTGGAGGAAATGTACGGTTTATACCAAAAGCAATTGGTTGTCATTGGGCCGTTTCAGGGAGTAGTATGTGATCAAGAATCAGTGGTACTCGGGGATGCCATTCAAGCTGCACTGAATGCAGAGGTAAAAGACCAGCCTCCAGGAATTGACAGAATTCCCTTTCAGGTGTTGAGCACTGGTGTGGCCCTGGACTTGTTCACTCATTTATGCCGAGAAATTGCAAGTTAGTTGCGTGGCCGGCTCACTGGCAGAGACCTAGAATGCTGACCATTCTAAAAGAAGGTGATCAGGCACAGTGCCATCAGCGTCTAACAGTAACATTAATGTAACATGAAAGTAAAATCCTGAGGACAATAATTCAACCAGAACTGACAAATTCAGGCTCAATTTAGAAGAGGACAGAATGCGGGACTTAGATACTAAAAAAATGTTTCTTGAATTAGTGACATGAGTGTTAATCCGAGGCGGCTTCTGATTCTAAAACTGTGTGTTTCCTGAACGTGACCCATTGTACTTGTGCACCGCGTCCTGTATCTGCAGTGAGCGCCCTGTCTGTAGTCACCTTTATTTAATGCTAGGACTCACTCATTGCCTCAAGGAGTTTGCAGTCCGATGGAGCAGCAGACGCAGTGCAGCACTCAGGTATGGATGGCCATGGCGCTCAGCACTGAGGCCCCGCTCCTCCTCCTCCTCGGCTCCCTTTTCACGACCACTGGTGACTCTGGTAGACCTGCGTCCCCACCTAGAGATCGAGCTAGAACTGCCTCCCTGGTTTGGAGCCCCGTTAAGCTTCATGGTGCTGTGTTGTTAGGGACCTAGCACAGTAACAGAGCGTGTGCTGGAAGCTTACTCACTGCAGGAACGTGCTGTAAACAGAGCAGCACTCAGGCCTTTCCATGATGTTAATAGTGAAATCCTGCTGTGCCCGGCACTTCTGTCCCTTGGCGTACTGAGGACTGCAGATTTTGAAACCCTGTTTACTCAAGAATTTATTTATTCTCTTATATGTCTCAATGGAGAGTGCAAAATAACCATGAGATGTATGCCTAAGTGTCTTTGAAAAATACGTTAAAGGATAGCTCATTCTCCTTGTAAGAAGTGGAGGGGAGAGATCTGTGTGCACTTTCAGATAATCCTAGTGAACCTTGAGGGACTAGAGTCATCCTACCAGATGGAGGAGAGAAAGGGTGTGAGCATGCGGCCTGCGCAACCTCAGGTGGACCAGGCTGGTGTGGCTGCAGCCCTCCGTGGAGGCAGCCTTCCCGAGGGCTGCAGCGGCTAGAGGTGAGGAGGAAG